CCTGCTTCACACAGTAAATCAGGGTCACCCCAAGGGCACAGAGCCGAGAAGATTACAAGATCATGGCCTTGAGTTCCTATATAGACTCTTTTTCCCTTTTTCCTTCTTTCTTTCTTTTTGTTTATGATGCAGGATCAATACCGTGCTGAGAAATATGTAAATTTATGCCCACTGTTAGCAGGTAAAAAATATCTTAGTTATGAAATAGCAACTATCATTTGGGCTGTTTAAATTCAAGTTCAAAACGATTAAGCTCAGTATTAATAAAATGGGTTCAGGGTCGGAGGGGTTGGGGAGACGGGGAATAATCTGCCATTTTTTTAAAATACAGGGGTGCCTGGGTGGCTTAGTTGGTTAAGCGTCCAACTTTCGCTTGGGTCATGATCTCGCGGTTCGTGGGTTCGAGCCCCGCGTCGGGCTCTGTGCTGACTGCCAGCTCAGAGCCTGGAGCCTGTTTCAGTCTGTGACTCCCTCTCTCTCTGACCCCCCCTTGCTCACGCTGTCTCTCTCTCTCTCTCCTAAAAATAAATAAAACATTAATAAAAAATAAAATACAAAAGCCACCTTGTCACCCCTGAGAGGACCTGAGTTGCCCTGCAGAAGTGCGTCTGTTACAACTTCAAGAGCTGACAAGAAATCCCAGGGAACAGGGAAATAAGGTAGCAAAATCCATTCAATGGGAGACTTACCAGGTAACAGGGCCCCGTAGGGCCTGGAAGGCTGTGGGCTATGCATTTGGCTCTGAGTCTCTGAAAAGCCAAAGCAGAGAGAGAAGGAAAAGCAGCTACAAGGTTTGCAGACAGTGCAAGGCCTGGGGCTTTGGAGGGAAGAAAACGAGAGGGAAGAGTGAGGAATAACCTTGACTCTTGTTTCAGAAAAGGATTTCAAGTGACTCCTCAAAAGATCAAAAAGTTGTCACTCATGGTCTCAAGGTACCCATCCTGCTGCGGAAACATCTGTCGTCAATCACTTGAAACTGCCTAGTGGGGGTGTCAGGGTGCCCGGCTGGCCCAGGGGCACTGCCGCCCCAAACTGCCCCAGGCCTCTGTCTGAATGCCCACCGTTAGAGCACCCCTTCCTGGGAAGAGCGTACGATCGTCCCACAGGGTGATTGGGGTGGGAGAGTGGGGCAAGCGCAGGCCGTGATCAGGGTGAGGGAGGGCCTTGCCGGGGGCCCTGTGATTGGGTGGGGCTGGAGGGTGAGGGATTGGGGGTTGCTGAGGACAGGTGCACCCTGGTTTCACAAGCCGCAGTGGGGCTGGGCGCCGCGGATGGCTGGTGGGGTGATGATTTCTGGCACTATCAGGCCGTGCTCAGATGTGACCTTGGTCTCTCCTGTGCATCCCGTACCCACAGAGTCCTGGGAATCTCTAGACCGTCCTGACAGCAGGACCAAAGTCTTCTCCCTCCCTGGCAGTCCTTCGTGTACATCTTTGTCTTCTGCACCTGCTGAGACGCTCGTCACAAGTCTCTCGAATGAGGGCATGACTTAACAATGAAACAAGTGAGGACCATGACTGCCATGGGCCAAATCTCTTCCTTCCTTCAGCTGCTGTTCAGCATCACCTCCTCCATGAAGCCCTCCCTGAATTCTCTTGCCCACCCCCCTTATCAAGACTCCTGCAGTGCTGGATGGGTGACCAACTTGTAAATGCTTTCCCTAGGTGCTAAGAATTGGAAAGTCTTTCTTGGGTTTTCTGGTTGTTCCTTATTCTAGCTGGACCACAAACGCATCTTTGACACAAACTTTTCCAGTTCTTCCCATTTGCTCCATGCTGTGCTAGACTCAAAGAATTCAAGAGTGAACTGGACAAATGAGGAGCTTATAGGCAAGTGTTGGGTTTGACAAACTGCTGCCCATGGACCAATTCCAACTGCTGCCTGATTTTTATAAAATTTTATTGGCACACAGGCAGCCCCATTTCTTCAGATCTTGCCGATGGCTGGTTTTGAGCTGTAAGGACAGAGTGGAGTTGCCGTGACAGAGACCATAGGAACCTGCAAAGCCTAAGCTATTTGTTCTCTGGACCCTCACAGAAAAGTTTGCTGGCCCCAGTCTAGTGAGAGAGCCGACCTAGAAAAAGATCATTCCAGCATGACGTGTGAGAGACGAGCACCGGGGAACATCACTGAGGCTGCAGGCCTGGAGAGAGGGTAGCTGGGCAAGTTGGAGATGTTATGTGAGTTGAGACACGGAGCTGTGTGAGCAGCTAGGGAGGAGCACTGCTGGGGGAGGGAATGCCGTGTGCAAAGGCCTTTGCTCTGTTGGAGGAATGGACAAGAGCTCGTGTGGCCGGAAATGTAGTGACTGAGGAGGAAGTAGGACAAGACCAGTGGTGGAGAGGTAGGCAGGGGCTAGATCAGTGATTCCCAGCGTGGGCGATGTTGCTCCGTTGAGTTTGTTTAAGATAATCGGGGGCAGGGGGATGCCATAAGTTCAGTGAGCAGGCACCAAGGATGCAAGACCTCAAGCAGTGCATGGAACAGTCCCACACAGCAATGGGCCATCCTGGGTCCTACATGACTTGGGGTGTGTCCTCATGGTTATTCGTGTAGGTGGAAAGCCAATCCCTGATCATCTCACCCTGGACGTGACTCTCCTGTTCATATAAACTGAAGGTAACTTCGGCTCGGTACCAGGCACACACTGCATTGTCTAAGAATGGATCTACCAAATAAATTGAGGGAGGGTTGCACTGTGTTTTGTTTGGAACATTACCAAGTAACGTTCGCCGTGGTGGGAAATCACGTCACCCGCGGCAACATCGCTTTTGGAATTTGAGTCTCCCAGATAACACACCTGTTGCCCTGTGTGTTTGTACCTGTGGCATTCACCATGACCTTACACACAAAGGCAGGTCGTTATGTTAACCAGTGAAGTCAAGCCAGAGAATTCACCTGAGGAAATGCACATTGTCTTATTACCAACGACTTGGCTCTTCTCACCTTTCTATTATAGTTAGGGCATTATATCGGTTAAAGCATCGATGGATATTTTAGTGTGTAGAAAAATTGTACTGCCTCTGGATTTTGTCTCAGGGTAACAAAGCAGCATTTACAAAACATTGTCTGACGGAAGCACCAGGGCCAGATCCCAACGTTTCCGGTGGATCTTGAATTCGAGTTTGGATTTTATGCGGAGACAATGGAGGAACTCAGGGCAAGATCGTAAGAAGACTGATGGGTTCTTCCAGGCAAGGGTGCCGATCACACCTCCTCTTTTTCTCTTTGATCCTGCACCCCCCTCCCTCCAGCACCTGGCAGAATGTGAATGCCCATCAGGCACTCTGTAAATTAAAGTGCTGCCAGCCAGAACAACTTCAGCCTGGGGGCTAAGCAGGCCTGCCCTCCTCCTCTGGCCAAGAGGGGTCAAGTGGCTTGCCTGGGCCAGGGAATGTCTGGTAAGTGCTATCTGGCAAACACAGTGTGCCTGCTTCCTTTTCCTGCCCCTGACAGCATCCATGGTCTTTTCTGGCTTCCCTGCTTGCTGACATACCCACCCACCCACCTTGGCCACCCGCCGGACCCAGTCCTGCCCCAAGGCCTTCCCCTCACTCCTGTTATTCTGACGCTGCAGGCATCGCTGGGTCCCAGGAGCCAGCTTCTCAACCTTTAGACCCCAGGCCAGGATCTAAGAATATCTCCAAGAGTATTCCCCAACACCTGCAACAGATGTGCCCACAAATTACCTGGTCCCAGGGGCGGGGAGCCAGAGAGGAAAGGGCATCGTTTTTCTATAAGCGTTACACATTTAATTTGCAAAGTTACATCACACATTCGTGCGCAGGTCAACTCTCTGGGAGCTTATTTCAAAAACCAGAGTCAGGTCAGGGCTCCTGAGCGCGCTCTTCACAGAGAAGGCAGCACGGTGGCGGGGCGGGGGTAAGTGGAAGACCATAGAGGTCAAATACGTTCACATGTACAAGGGCAGATGGGGAGAGGTGGTACTTGCAGGGCCCCTTCCCTGCACCTGCCTCCATTGACATCATCCCACATCTTTCCAAGACCAAGTGTGTGTTAGCAGCACCCTCATCTCACAGGTGTGGATACTGAGCTTAACGAGGTTATACACCCTTTTACCGCTTAATGTGCCGTGGGACATGGGCCGAGCCTGAACTTGGACTCAGGGCTAGAGACTCCCACCGTGCCTTAAGCCATGTGAATACGATGTATAGATCTCACCACACGTGTATAGCATGTAGATGCACATACACACCGAGCTATACTTTTTTTTTTAATTAGATAGGACCGGGTTCTTTATAAGAGTCACAAAAAGCTGTGGAGCCCATGTGAGATTACAGACAGAAGTGGACAAAGAACTGTCCACAGAACAGGCTGAACAGGAAGTGGTAAGGTTGAGTTCACTTCCATCCCCATAAAGTCCAGCTCAGTCAACTGACAAAATAATTGTCTTGACTCTTTGTGGTGAAGGTAAGTGTTTCGGAGTATTAACAGGAGGGTCGTTTCACGTGCAGAAGAGACCATTTAGAAGTGTTTGGTTTCTAAAATTAATATTAGATACATTACAGTTATAAAGTAAAAAGCCCAGTGCTTCCTTATGCTTTTAAATTCTGCTTACAGGGGCACCTGGGTGGCTCAGTCGGTTAAGCGTCCAACTTCGGCTCAGGTCATGGTCTCACGGTTTGTAGGTTTGAGCCCCACGTCGGGCTCTGTGCTGACAGCTCAGAGCCTGGAGCCTGCTTCAGATTCTGTGTCTCCCTCTCTCTCTGCCCCTCCCCCACTCATGCTCTGTCTCTCTGTGTCTCAAAAGTAAATAAACTATAAAATAATTTTTTAAAAATTCTGCTTACAAATTATATTATCCTATTTATTCTTCTAGTAATGGGATATATATATGGGATATATTACATATATATATGTGTATATATAAACTTACTGTTTTACTCATCTTTTCAAGTTTAACCTGATAATTTATTTGTGAAAAGAGCTAGTTTTGATGAGAAAAATTCAATCCTTTCCTTGTAAACATAAAGAAACCCCCAAATACCGAACACTTCACAAATTTGCATGTCATCCTTGCACAAGGAGCTGTGCTAATCTTCTCTGTATCGTTCCCATCTTAACATACGTGCTGCCTAAGTGAGCACTGTCTTGATCACTTTTAACTACACTCCAGTGACATGATGTACACTCACCCTGTTGTGCATATCCATTTTTTATAAACAATGTAAGAAACCTTTTCTAAAAATTCTAGCAAAGGATAAGTGGATCAAAGGCTTGTAGGAGAAAAAGCAGCCCCACGCGCCCCCACCTCCTCCTTCTCCGGGTCCCAAGAGCGCTTGTGAGCACATGCATTTATCTCGCACGATGTACGTCTCGGCTAGGTTTTAGCAGCTACGACTCTTCGTCACTTGCTACCACTGAGAGATCATCTCAAATCCAGGCTGCCTCTTCTTCCTTCTATTTTTCAAAGCAATGTTTCCTCAACCAGATTTACATTTTCAAAAACCCTTCAGATAATCACAAACCCAAGAAACTTCCACTCCTCTGAGGTTTAATTAGGAGAAACTGTCTTTCTAGTACTTCCAAGAGCCTTGCTCTAAATTTCTCAGCGGAAAGAGAAGGTTCACGGCGGATGAGTGGGAGCAAGCGGAACCTGTGAACAGCCGTCCCCTCTGTCCCCCCTCTCTCCCTCGCAGCAGAGATAAAGCCATGTTGCAGGTCACTGAAATCACATTGTGAGTGTGCCCTGTATCATTAGGACCCAGAGAATGGGGATGATCGGAAGGCAGGATAACACATTAGCGATAGATAATAGAGTCTAAATAAACATAATCAGCTTTCCTCTATGTCTTCAGACCAAAGCTTATCTATAAATACCCTAATGACGCCCAACCAGCCAATTACTCGTTTCTTGGAAGAGCCCCTTATTAATGGCGTTGCAGTGAGGGAAAAACATTAATTATTGGACACAGTGGGATCTTTTACGTTCTGTCTGGTCCGGACAGCACCAATTAATGCAACAATTATTATCAAGACCGTGGCAGCATACTGAGTGCAGTCACCCCAGGCTGGCTCGATGGGGTGGGAAGAACATGCGCACTGGGGGAACATGGCCCAAGCTCTTTCCAAGAAGCCTGCTTCTTCATCGCTGTGGAAGCTGCTGGAACAAAGCAGAGGGTGGCCAGAGGGTGTCGGTTTTTCCTTTTAAAGCCACAAGACAGAGTCCCTGGGGTGCTAAATGGGGGAGAGTGGGAGGAGGTAGGCGCTGGTCTGTTGTGTTGAATTGTTAAGTGAAACCAGGCAGAAGATTCGAGAAGAGAGGCTCCCTTTAGGGCATGGAGCTCCGGGAGTGGCTTCTGCCCATTCCTGCAGCCTCTTCTCTCTCACTCATTGGAGTGCAACCCTACTGCTAATCTCTCAGCCTCTCCAGTTCAGCTCTGCTCCATCCTGCCCCAGGACATTGGCACAAGCTCTTCCTCATACCTGAAAGATCTTCCCCTGTTCCCTTCTGAACACAGTACAAAAGCTTCCTGTGCAAAAAGGCCTTTCTTGAGCCTGAACCCAACCCATACCTTTTCCTTCAGATTAGCCACTTTTTATTTCTCTTTTTTACACAGCATCGATCACAAATTATGAGATAAACAGATCTATCTTATTATTTTCGTTGTGTCTGCCTCCCCCACAGGAATGCAAGCCTCGTGAAGGCAGGGACTTTTGGACTTTTTTGCTCCAGAATCCCTCCAAGTGTTTTGGATTTAGAAGGCGCTCGATGAATATTTGGTGAGCGAATGAATAAATCCGTGGGCTGTGCAGAAACAGATGATACTTAAGAGACTCCATGCCAGATGCCACACAGGCTAAACCAGCTATTGCAAAAATGCCATAGGAACAATAAACAAACAAACTGTTCTATTCAGAGCAGTGACATGTCCTGCAAACCCTATGTCAGCTCTACATCTGCACTTTAAAGGTGATGCACATGCTGGAAGGGCCTTTGATGGGCTGTCCTGTAAAATGCTGGCTTCTGTTATCGCTTACCTCGCGGCACTTCCCTTGAGCTGGCTGCAGGTGTAGCTTCACCGCCCGAGGTATCAAACGGTGGCAGGAATGCTTTATTTTTCTCTGCTCGGCGCCAAGGACAAGATCTCTTCTGGGAGGCATTAATTACAGAACACTTCGGAAAACTGGTCCAGCGAAGGATGGAAGAGCTCCCTAGAGCCTTGGTCAGGGCTCCGAGAAGTGGGCTCGCCCCTGCAGCCCTTCTGGAAAAAGATCTCCAGGCTCCTTGCACTAGATGTTACCCTTTGGAGGGTTAAAGCAGTTTGGATGTGTTATTCAGAAACAGAGCCAAGTTCAAGAAGCCTATTTGGCCTCACCGAACCTCAGCGATCCCCAGCCACTAACCACATCCAGCCCCGTGCACGCTTCACGGAGATGACATTCTTCTGAGGTTGTTCTAACCCAAGTGGAACCACAGGAGTGTAAAGGCGGCTCGGGGGTGTCCTATGCCTGGGGCTTCCATACAGATGTGGCCGTGGACACATTACCATTCCACTGCTGAATAACCATCTCCAGGGAAATGCTTAGAAATGACAGGGACACTCGAGTCATCCATCAGGGCTGTTTTTTGCTTTCATCTCTCTGAGAATGGTAATGACCTCAAGTCACAATGATCTCACCCCCTCTGCATGCCTCCAACACATTTGGTCTTGACCCTGCAATCGGGCACAAATGAGGGCGGCCCAGCTCCTCGGCTGTTTGGGGACGGGGAGGTTGGAAGCCACAGGAAGGCAGCGCGTACTGTGTCCCTACTCTCTGCTCAGTGCCCAGCTTGCTGATGCCCGCTCGGGGTGGAAGTTTATTTCAAGGCTACATCGTATCGACATTCCTGCCTCTTCATCTGCCCCCGGAGAGCAGCCTGTGACCCCCCGGAGAGCAGGAACCACAAACTCTTCATTCTTTTTTCTCCAGAGCCTGGTGCAGGGCCCTAGCCGCAAAATGACTTTCAGACTTCAGAATGAGTGGATGTTTAGGTGCTTGAGTGAAGCTACTGGGGGTTGGGGGTGGGGTGCAAATTTCAAGGGTGACCGTCCTCTGCTGCCGAATGCCCTTCCTTTCCCTTCCCCCCCCCGAAAAAGAACATTTGGGGTTACTGTTTGTTTCTGGATGGCCAGAATGAAAATAAAAATGAAGCATTATAGTGAGGTGGCTGATATGAGTTCAAATCCTGGCCATGCCACTTACTGGCAGGCCGTATTGGACATGTTACTGAATCTTCTGGTGCCTCAGTTTCCTTGTATGTGAGGTACGAATAATGGTCCTGGTCTCATCACGCTGGTGGGGTGTTTGATGTTTGGGCAAAGTCAGTAGAGCGTTTAGGATGGTGTCTGGGACAAAATAAACCTCCAATAGATGTTAGCTGCTGTGACTCTCAGTGCTCTCAATGAAGAGCTTCAGAATAGAGGGGCGATGTCTCCGAGGATGGTCAGTTGACAACTTCATACTGAACACCCACCGGGAGCTAAGGTCCTGATCCTAGGTCCTGATCCGCGGTCCTACGTCCTGCGGATGGGATGGTGACAAAGGTTGGTCCTATCCTGGAGGATCTGTTGCACATTAACCAAAAGCAGTTTCCTGATGGCTGGGAGCTCACTAATTCTGGAGATCCTGACCCACGTTCTGTAGGAGGGACACCTAATGTGGATGTAAGGTGTTTGATGAGCAAAAGGAACAAATGACCAGGGAGTGGAGGCTGCTTCTGACGGTGCCAGTGGCGGAGCTTGGGGTGTATTTCATAACTAACTGTAGTCCCCGGATCGTGCTGGACAATCATTAACCATCTTTAAATCAACCAGTGCCTGCAGCCATGTCGAAATGCCCATGTCAGAAGGGTCTAGATCATAAATCATGGGCTGCAAGCCTGATTGTCTGCGGTTAGGACGATAAATCGGCACTCATATTTGAAACTGCTGTTTGCTTTGTCTGTTTGTGACTTCATGATACATTTGCCGTTTCTTTATCAACTGATTTTGGGAAAGGTCCTCTGGTTACAGTCCACTGCTCAGGAGAATGACTGTCTATTTCTCTGGGATCCCTCATAGCCCCCCACTCCCACCCCAAGTGAAGTTGTGTGAGTCGCATAGTCGCTGTCTTATTTGACCACCCCAAATATAGTTTCTAAATTTGGAGAAAATCAGTGCAGGCATTTCATGTGATGTGGGACTTTATTTCCATAGGTCTGATGTGTAGAGCCTCCTGGTGGTACCCAAATCATCCTTCCTCTTTTTCCCCCTTTCCTGTGTCCCTGCCCCCACTCTCACTCAAATACGAGAGATTTGTGATGCCCTGGAAAGTCAAAGAACAGAGTAGTCATTTAAAAAGCATCAAATTGTTAAAAAAAAAAAAAAAAAAAGCTCAAATTCTTGACCTAAAAGTACAATGCTTCTTCCAATGGTTTCCATTATTATTTGACAAATGACTTAAAGTTTGTTTTAATGTTTATCTATTTTTGAGAGACAGAGACAGAGCATGAGTAGGGGAGGAGCAGAGAGAGAGGGGGACACAGACTCTGAAGCAGGCTCCAAGCTCTGAGCCATCAACACAGAGCCTGACGCGGGGCTCGAACTCAGGAGCCATGAGATCATGACCTGAGCTGAAGTCCTGCTTAACCGACTGAGCCACTCAGTTGCCCCGATAAATGACTTGTCTTTGAGCTGAGAATACAGGTAATTTCCAAAACAATAGCAGTTGGCATTTCCACGCCCTTTGTAGAAAGACAGATGGAAAGCAATGTTCTTCCAGTTTTCTGGGACTTTTCCTGACACAGAACGGTTAAGGGGAAAAACTCACAGCTTGCTTCCTGCACTTGGCATTCCCCATCTGATCACACTGCCTTCCCGCTGGTATCCCATGACATTCTGTGCAAGTTCAGTATCGTCCTCAGCAGCGCACCTATACGCGAACCTCACATAATTGCGGTCCCTCACATAATATATGTACCTTACATAATTGCTCTAACCGTCTACCTTCTTTAATTGGAAACCAGGAACCTTTGAGCTCTCTAATGACATCATATGACTTATATTAATTTCTGCCTATTTGCTTAGTGGCCAATTTCTAAACTTGTCCTAAACCTTGATGAGGA